AGAGTTTTGCCTCTAGACTGTGATCCCAGCTGGATCTGTCCCTTTAAAAGCTCCTGTTCTGTTCCAAATTCCATGAGGTGTGTTGCAGTTGACTTTTCTTTCAGAAAGGGCTTTATATCACTCTAGCTTGTGCTCCCTTTGAGTCAGTTATAATCAGGAGCAGAATTTATGTGGAGCAGTAAATTGTGGTACTGTGTACAACCAGCTGAAATGTGCAATGGCTTATCCATGGAATTCTTCCTGTGAAAGCTGTTTTGTACTCCCTCCTTCCCTATTGCTCATTACTGCACCTCTGGAGTCTAATTTCAGCCACGGAGAAAATGACTGAAAGAAGGGTGAAATAAAGTTCTCTACTGGAGTTAATGCTTTTATATCCACTAAATGTATAGCTGGCCTACTTGTTGACATAAAGGAAAATGTCATGAGGAAACAAATAGCAAGGCCAGGTGGTTTTGCAGCACAGCAGCCCTGTGACAGAGGAGACTGCAGTGGGTGTTGTAAACTCCTTGCTTACTCTCCTCCCAACCCTGCCCCTTGCCCAAATTACATGCTTCTAATAAAACATTACCCTACTTAGTCTTGTGATTTGTTTTTATCTTAATTTTGGTTTCACACCTATTTATGATCCCTTTCCCTGCTTCCTTCTCTGCTCTGGAATGACTGTGTTGCCTTCTGCAAAATAAAAACGGAATTAATGTCAAGTGAAAATGGGATAACAGAAAAGAGGTTTTTAAAATAGATTTTTTTCCTATTTTCTGTGCTTCAAATATTTGTTTTACTACTGGAAACAACTCAGTGTTTTCCTGCTTTTTCATGCAAAATAGCTACGAGCTTAATTTTGAATATATTCATAATACTTTTGATTGTTGGGGTTTATTGGAGCAATTAATATATTATTATATATATTGTTCATTTTAATGAATTTAAGCTGATTATTTTCAATATAATGAATATTCTAATTGGATGTTGCTAAATAAACATTCAGATGTAACTGATTCAGCAGCACTGGTAGGGCTGCAGGTATGGTCAGCCTTGTTTTGCTGTATTTGTTCTTCAGCTTTACATTTCATTGTCTTATTGGAGTTATCTAATTGCAATGCAATTGCGAACAAATCCAGGTATTTAAGAGCTTGAAAATGATCTACTGGATCAAACCACAGTCATTGAGACCTGTTTTGTGCATGTGTATCATTGCATTGCTGCTCCTTTGAGATAATCTTGCTTGATTCAATTTTGTGGGAAGTGTTTTACTGTTCACAACAAGCTGCTTATAAATTTGAGCTGTGTGAAATAAAGACTGTGCCTTCAAGTCTATGGTACTGACAATGAGAATCATTATCAAGATGGCAAATGGTGATTTTTGGTAAGCATGCACTGTCCTTGCAGAATGACAGAAAATTGAGTTTCTTCCATATGCTTTGCATGAGGCCAGAAGTACCCCTGCTTATTTTGAAAATCTTGAATGTTTTTCCTCTTGTAAAATAATCACTTTGATTGTTTTGGACTGTGTTGAATATCTGCTTCTAAGCACTGAACACAATTGCTATACTGTAGTAGTCAGAAAAAAAAGTCAAAAAGAAAAATCAGAAAAGATGATAAATTCTGAATATTTAGAAATATTTAAATATCTATTATCAACAAAATACTTAAATGCAGTATACAGCATATATCTGTGGTGGTTTTAGCTAGATTTAGAGATGGAATATAATTCTGTTTGCCATATGTGATTACTAGCACTGAGAAGGAGACAGTGAGCCTTTGCTTCAAGCTGTCAGTCTCAAGGAAAGTATGAAAAGCTTTACTCAATTACCCATCATTAGCCACCACATCTCCAGTGGGGGTTTGGTATCCCAGCATTCTGGGATACCAAACCATTTTATTCATGTTATCCTGCTGAGGTTGGGGGACCAAATTTTGTGTTTTACTTGGTGGTCAGTTAATTAAATCCACCTGAGAACAGGCAGGACAGAAAATATCCCCAGCCCTATGTTAATCCCCTCAATGCATCAGTTCTTAAGTCCAGCATAGCAAGAGTAGCTTTGTCCAGTTAACAGCAGAACACCAGCTCTGCTGTCTCTCATAGAAGATGGTCATGCCCTCCTTGCACTCTAGAGAACTCGCATTCATCCTGGATATTGTCTACTCACTTTCTTAGTGCCTGTGCCCCAGGGGCAGGAGGGGCATTGCACCCACCCTATGGGGCTCAGAAGCCTGTGCAGCTCCACTGTATGGGAAGGTGGGCTCCCTAGTGACTCTGCTTGGCTTGCTGCAAGAGTCAAGCTAGCTCATCTTCCAGGCCCGCAATAAGATGCACTTGCATCATTAAAGTCCAATATTTTATGCATTTTCATTGGCTGATGTTAGTTAGTATTTATGAAGCACTTTCTATTCAGAAGTTAGGGCAACATGGAACACTTTTGGGAGCTACTGTGCTATTACTACCTTGCCTTATAGATGAGAAGGTAAATTGACTTGCCAAAGGCCATGCAAAGTCTCCAAGGGAAGTAGAAATATAGCACAGATCCATCAGCAGGTCCTTTTCCCTATGCAGTAATACCTTTGCTTTAGATAAAATAAAAAAAAAATTGGAAATGTTAGAACAGAAATCATTAAAAAGTAATGCAAATGCAACCCATTTTTCTAGTGCAGTTATCACAGACGCAACCTCAAGAAAGCACTGTGCAGTGAGTTCCTTTCTATTAGTAAATTAATGCCTCAACTGTGCCATTTGACTGCCTGCCAACTGAGTTTTGCTTGATGTTGAATGAGCCTGAGGCAGAAATAGTAGGTGCTATGCCACTCATGAAGCCAGCTTGGTTCTGTAACTATATGTTTTTCATTTTGTTTCAGTGGTTTGGTCCAAAATAGTCTCCCTGTGGCACCTAGAAATTAGATGTTTGTGAGTATGATCCCACCTACACAGAGTGGGAACTGATTTGCAGTATCTGTGTTGCTAGGTTTTGGCAGGTTCATGTAGAAGAAAATAGCTTTGATCAGCAGAGAGAGAGGGAAAGCATCCCTTGTATGCATTTCTGTCAGGGATGAGTAGCCAAACCACAGCAAAGAAATGAAAGGATAATTGGTTTGAAAGTGGAAGTTTTCATCCTTAAAACTATGTTTGCCCTATTGGGTCAGTGCTTGGTCACTTACAGCTCTGGGGTATTATAAAGCAGGAACATATTTTACAGGGAACAGCACCTGAAATATGAACTCCTTTTAAAGCACCAAAGATCTTGCCCATTGCTACTTTCAAAGCTTGCCTCTCATATAAACCCTTGCAGCAGACATGAGGCATCATCAGTCTGAAAAGGAACCATGCTAAGAAACACCAGATCTATAGTGATACATTATTGATGTGTCTTCCCATTAAGTACTCTCTAATCCCATTATGTTAGGATTGTACAGCTTGAGTGCAGTACTTTACAGTACTTAAGGTACACCACATAGTTGCATTACCCAACGTGAAATTAGATAGCTGTGTGGTGCTTGCCTTGCTTTTGTTGTTAGAATCTACACCTTGTTTGAAACTTTAGGAAGTGCTGTAGATCAAGAATCACTTGTTAGCTACGTTGCTTTTTGTCTTGCTTTTCAGCTTTGCCACTGTCCTTCCAGTTGCCATTCATGGCCTTTATAGAAGCTACAGCTGAAATGCTCATCAGGAATTTTAGGAGACCCTCAAACTCATCATGCTACTTCTCCAAATTCACTTTGATTTCTTATTTTCCAAAGACTTATGTTATTTTTACAATTTTATTTCAAGACTCTTGATATTGCCTGCATTTCCAAATCAAGGTGATTGAGGCTCACAGATCTTACTTGGGTAAAATAGCAGCTGCCTCTGTGTGTGTGTTAGACTGAGATGCTTGTGAGTTTTGTGGGTTGTTCTAGTGAGTGTTTTGGGATGCTCAGGGTTCCCTTCTGGGTATGAGAGCAGCAAGTTGTGAATTATTTTTAGGCATGTGGACCCTCTCACCAAAGCCCTGCCTGTCAATATCCTCACCCAAAGCATATTGAAGTTTCTCAGCTGATCTTTTTTGGTGGGACCAAAACAAAATTGCAGGTCATGTAGACCTTCAGAAGGCAATTCATAACATAGGTAAAGTTATTAGGCTGCTGATTTCCTAAGTGTGACCCTTAACTTGGACATAGGAAACTCAAATCACAAGACCTGTAAGTTCTATTAATATAGCAGAATGGAGATTGATAGATTGATGCTGGCACACTTCTCGGCTGCCCTGTAATGACTTGACCAGCTGTGCTATAAGTAGGAATAATTTCTGGGCTCTTTCTTTAATTTTAGCGTAGTTTTTAAAAAATATATTTTAAATATATTTTGGTAGTATTTTATTGATTGTGTGCGGAATTGTTTTTAGCATACCTGAACACTTCCAAATATCTCTTTGGACCAGAGTGCAGCTGTATGTCACATCTGAGATGTCTTAAAGCATTGACCACTGGTCAGTGACAGCAGGTGCCGGATCAAGGGTGAAAGGACAAAAAAGCTCCACAAACAGTTTTGTTTCTCTTTTAACACTGTGAAGATCCTGAGTGCTAGAGGCCGTCATGGCCAGTGGTGAGCTGAGGTTAGAGGAGTAGAGGAAACATGGTTTGCTCTATTTCCATTGCCACCATCTGCACTGTGCATGTTGTGACACTGTGTGCTCTGACACAGTGCTGTGACCAGCCTGCTGATGCTCTCCTGTGGTCACAGCAGCCAGACACAGTAGCAAACCCTGTTCCATCTGAGTGAGAGCTGGGCTGGAGGTCACTGATGGCTGAGGCATGTGCTCCTGATCTTACTCAGCTTCTTTCCCCAAGCTTTGTGTTCTTACATAGCTAAACTGTTGTTAGATGGGGAATCAGTGCAGCAGGAACACAACAATAGCAGTAATTTTGATAGCTTCTGATTCTGTGATCCCTGTGTAGGGACTCCTGCTTACTGCTTTGAGATGTCTCAAAACTTCAGAGATGTTGAGGTAAAAGTGTCTGTTCCTGCTGGGATGAGAAGTGACTAAGAAAGGGAGGTGGATGGAGCTGGGAGAAGAGTTGGCGTTGCATCTGTGGTTACCAGGGAAGGGAGAGATGCTTTTCTCTCTGCTGCTATTTCACAGTTCCCAATTTCTCAGCAGTAATAGCCAAGAGCAAGCCTGATTTTTCTGTATTCCAGTGTGCTGGGAAGCACAATAGAGCTAAGGGTGTTTTTGCTGGTGGAGCAGACATTTAGTTGCTAATGGTTGTAGCTTGCCATGCCTGTCAGTGTAGTTTTTTTTTTTTTTTCCTAGCTTAGTTTTAGGCTTCTCCCAATTAAAAAAAATGAGACAGAATGAGTTTTCTGTGTGTATGGGAACTTGGTTCATCCATAGGGATCAAGAATTAACTCTTGTGGTTTAGTCAATTTGTTTTCTCTGGGATGGTCCTGGGGAGAGTAAGAATGAGCTTCTCATTTCCCACTACCTTTGAAAACAGTCTCCCTACCCTCTGTGTTTAATCTGCATTGACTGAATGTTAATCAGGGTTTATTGCCAGGTAAGTGTTAAGAATTTATGTCTGTATTTTGGATTTTGCATGGTGTAGTTTCTTTTTTTTTTTACAGCTAGTAGTTCTCTGAACTTGTCTATGAAAAATAAAACCCATAAAATGTCTCAATGTGTCTCAGGTTATCCTTGCCTCTATTTCTGCCCTAGTGCTGCTCTTACTCTTTATTCCCATCAGAACTCAGTGAAATCTGCTTCCAATTTGTGCTCTTTCAGAGAATGGACCAATTCTTTCTGGCAACTTTACGTAACTCTGATTGTTCCGTCTTTGTATTGCCTTGATTGTGTTCTATAGTAGTGTCATGGTTTCTGTAATATTCTTTTTTAATAGTAGAATGACCAGAACAGTAAGTGCAACTTTTCAGAAGACTAGAATGAGTCTGTGAGGTGTGTGAATCAAAATACCAGAGGACCTGATATTATTTTTTTCAACTTTTTATCTTAGTAGTGTGTCAAGAGATGATGGAGAGATCTGGATCTGGAGAGATTCTAAGCTGAATAATCTGCTTAGAGAATGTGTAATATGGGAAAAAGATTAATTAGTAAAAAAGAATTCACTTGATCCTGGTTAGTTTTATATTTTTTTTGTCAACAGCTGCTTAAAACTCTGTTTACTCATTATGTTTCCCACCTAAGTTGAAAACATATCATTATTTTAAAACAAAGTCAGATTCAAGTTGTTAAGCTGTGTTCTAAGCTGGAGCAGGTGGGATTTGAAAGAAACAATTTTCCAGTTAGACAGTTGAGTCTGCAAATATCTGTGCAAGTACCTGCCTGTGAACATAAGGTTGTCTGTAGACAGATTGGTCTGCTTATTTGACTGAATTTCTGCTTTCTTTCTGAGCTGCAACTTGAAATATATGCTCTCCTTTAAAAATTGGAACAAAATCCAGCTTTCTAGGTTGTTTTATCAGCTTATCATAGGCAGGTAACTTAGTGATCTCAAGAGAGGATCATATTGGTAAATAATTCAGTTTACTTTATAGTCTGAGCTGTTTAGGCAGTATGACAACAAAGTTAAAAACATTAAAACATCTTGAAAATAAAACACTGAAGATAAAAGCTGCGGAGATACCCATGATTTAATGCTGTTTATGTGCTTATTTTTTTCTCAAATAAAAATGTGCTCAATTCTTTTGAAAGACACAAAGGCTTAAACAAGTCTCTGATTCCTCAAGTGGGGAATTGTAATTAAAAAGACTAAGTGCCTGGCCTTCAATTGATTCAACAGTAGGAGTAAAGATATTTGCTGGAAAGCCAAAAAAAAAAATTAGACTTATAAGTGAGTCTTTCACATTTGACAAAAATTTTTTTTAAAGTTAAAGTAACATGTTTCCTTCAGAAATCTGGATGTTAGGCTGTTATCATTTTGTACTTGGTTTGGGGAAGGCACTCTTGATGCAGAATGAAATGAAACCTCTTCAGAAGCTACATTGTCTGTTTCTGAGTTTAGCCCCAGCTGAAGTACAAACCCCCACAATGGTGGGGTGGAGAGAACAATCAGGAAAATAATATGTGAGTTGGAGGTATTATAGTTATAATTTGAAATAATGTAAAATATAATAATTGTCATAATAAAAGGGAAAAGAGAGGAATAAAACTCTGAGAGGGTAAGCACTGCTTAGCAACAGCCAAAACATCCGTGGGTTATTCAACAGTATTCTTATCCCAAATCCCCAAAACACAGCACTGTACCAGCTACTAGGAAAAAAAAAATAACACTCTCCCAGTCAGAACTAGTTTTGGTCACCACAATATAAGAAAGATATTAAACTATTAGAAAGTGTCCAAAGGCAACTAAGATGGAGAAGGGCCTTGAGGGGAAGATGTGTGAGGAGGGCTGAGGTCCCTTGGTCTGTTCAGCCTGAGGATGCTGAGGGGAGACCTCACTGCAGTCACAGCTTCCTTGTGAGGGGCAGAGGAGGGGCAGGCACTGATCTCTGCTCTGTGGTGACAGTGACAGGACCCCAGGGAATGGCCTGAAGCTGTGCCAGGTGAGATTTAGGTTGGGTATCAGGAAAAGATTCATCACCCAGAGGGTGGCTGGGCACTGGAACAGCTCTCCAGGGAAGTGGTCACAGCACCAAGCCTAACAGAGCTCAAGAAGTATTTGGAAAATGCTTTTAGGCACCAGGGGTGACTTGGGAATGGTTATTTGTAGTGCTGGGAGTGGGACTTCATGATCCTCGTGTGTCCCTTCCAACCCAGCTTAATTCTGTGATTCAATTTTTATGCCCGACTAAAAAACAAAAGTAAACCCAGGATGTTTATTATCTATAGACAACTGTCCAAAAATACTTGCACCTTGCATCTTCCATCTGGCACAGCGGCACACAGCAGTAAACATTTTAAGAATTGCTGGATTGGTGTCAGCTCAAAGGAAATGTGTCAACTACTTGGGACAGGATTGGATGTGCACTTGTCTAATTATCTTGGACAGGAGCGAAAGCCACGCATCTGATCCTGCCCACTAACAGACAGCAGGATAGAGTTAGGCAGGTAGGCAGAGCATCTAAACAGGTCTTAGAGATGGGAAATCTCACAAACATTTAAATTTAAATGCCTGTTACTTGTGTCTGCAGTCCACTTTCAGTGGATGCTTTGACAAATAGGCTTCAAAGCTGTCTGAGGACAAAAAGTGAATGTTTCAGAAGTACTTGAAATCTAATTTCAAATATTCACAAATACAAATTTGTGTTCTTTCAATTGAAAGCAATTTTGTTAATGGAACACTTAAAATATAAATCCTTTAAGGATGTTGTTATAAGCACATTTCAACATGGAGAGAAATAAACTCCAGGTTCTCAGGTAGCTGAAAGAGAAACTCTGCAAAGATGGACAAGAATCAGAGATATTGAAATGAATATTTTATATTGGCAGGAAATCAGAATTTACCCGGTTTGCTTCTCAAATGGATCGGAAATGTTTCATTTTCACAAGTCTTTTGCCACCAAATAAGTGCTCTTCCTTAAAGCTGAGCATATGCTTTGTATGAATCTTATAAATGGGCTGCTAATGTTCTGATGCTTTTGAGAATTGGCCTGGTGGTTATCAACTTGCTCTGAAGAAAGTAGTGTTTATTTAATGAGGGATGTGTAGGACTTTTGCATTTTAAAACCCCAACCAAGCAACAACCGATTAGAGGAGAATCATCCCTTGCTTTTCTAGTCTGGTAGGGGTTTATGAAAAACAGCCATAAACTGCATTTAAGGACTTGATGTAATTTGCTTTGGATTTCTTGATGGTACTTGAGGGACTGCTTGTTTAGAAAGTTAGAAAGGTTTCATCCCAAATAAGGAGTGAATTAATACAATAAAAAGAAAGTCCGATAACTCTGTGCTCTATTGCTCCAGGCCAATACATCACATCAGAAAAGCTTCTTTCACCCAAGGTGAAAGTGGGGGAAGGAAAGTCGATGACAAATAACAAAGCACTGATATCGCTGGAGAGCTGACAGCTATGACTGAAGGTCATTACCATGACATTATCATTATCTGGGCAGGATTAAATTAAGTCCAGAACTAATTATATTGTCCTTTCCAGAAATAGTCCAGAAATACTTCTGGTAAATGTCAAAAATACAGTTCAATATTTTGATGTTTGGAGCTTGACACTCAATAAGGCGTGCGTGTGTTTGTGCAATCACAATATAATAAGTGGAAAGGAAGCCAGTAAAAATGAGCAGTATTGGACTATTTCATAGTACTCAATTTACACATGCCAATAAAATTTGACTGGATAGATAAAGGTACATACTGCAGTCCCATATCTTGTATCCTCATCCTTTTGTGAGGGAAAATAATTGGTTTTACTTCCTCTGCCAAAGCAAATTTTTCCCACCTTCAAGCCTTACTTTCATATATCTTTTCTTTCCAACTTGCTGTAGTTAAAGCACTTTGAAAAATATTTATCTTCAAAATATGTCAGACAAGTGTACTTTTGTGATCTATCATTTGACCTGTCATTTTTCAATCTTTTGTATGTGTATTTCTCCTCTTTTTGCGTGTATATTTGTGTGTTTCTTCTAGTATATTCAGTAGTTTTATGCTATGCCTATGCCCATCTTGATTATTTGCTCTACTTTCCAGTTTACCTACACTGTTTTTTTCTGAGGGTTACTGCCTTTATTACTACTTGCCAGAAGCATGGCTGAATTTATCTTTGAACAATTTCAATTTCTTTTCTGTTGCTCTTCCTGCCTCTCTTTATACTTCACGTTTCTTTTGGCTTTACTCTCTGCCCACAGTGTGTTGTGCTGAAATACAACATCTTTCTTTACCTCTAGTTTAGTTTCAGTTTATTTATGGATACAAACACAAGTATATTACAGGTGTTCCTTAAAAGTTACTCCTTCTGTTCATCTTAGCAATGGGATTTCTGGGATTTAAGCCCAATTTACTTTCTAAGGATGTGCCTTGCAGAGATGCTTCAGCTGTTCCTGTAGTCATCAAGCTGGGTGGTGGTCAATGCAGGTTTTTCTTTCCCCTTTTTCTAGTCAAGTTTATGCCTCTCTTCTCTCACTTTGTACCCTTCTGTGAAATACTTGCTACCATCTTCAGTTCTCTCAATTTTTTTTTTCTTCTCTTTCACTCTCTAGCTGAAACTAGCATTTTTATTTTTGTTTGGACACTTCTTTATTTTTTCTGCAGCAGTTCTTGCACAGAGTGTGAATAGGAAGCAATTGTGGGCAGGTCTGCACACACAAAAGGTGAAGAAATGGCTCTACTGATTTTGGTCCTGGACTTAGAGAAGTTGTGCTGGGGAGTAAGTAAGGAATTGTGAAGTATGGTGGGAATGGGAAGTGGTTAGTTAATTAGACTGGCTGTGTTTAATGTCCTCAGAAGAGTGCTCCGTGGTATCACTGTGGGCCACTAGGTACGCAGCCATGCTCTGCTGGAAGAGCTTTTTCTGGATAATCAACCTAAACCTGCTGTGACACAGATTCAGGCTATTCCCTCGGGTCCTGTCACTGTCACCACAGAGCAGAGATCAGTGCCTGCCCCTCCTCGTGCCCTCCCAAGGAAGCTGTGACTGCAGTGAGGTCTCCCCTCAGTCTCCTCCAGGCTGAACAGACCAAGCGCCCTCAGATGCTCCCCACACAGCTTCTCCTCAAGGCCCTTCTCCATCCTCACTGCCCTCCTTTGGATGCTCTCTAATAGCTTAGGGAGTTTTTTTTTTTTATGTTGTGGTACCCAAAGCTGCCCTCAGCACTGGAGGTGAGGCTGCCCCAGGCAGAGCAGGACTATACCCTCCCCTGCCCAGCTGGCCATGACATCAGGCTGGCTTGATGTCCCTCCTGGCTGCCAGGGCCCTGCTTGCTCATGTCCAAATTGCCCTTGATCAGGACCCTCAAGTCCCTTTCCCTGGCACTGCATTCCAGTATCTCCTACAGTCTGTGTGTGCATCCTGTGTTCCCCTGTCCCAATTACAGAATCCTGCACTTCCCCTTGTTCAGCTTCACATGATTGGTTTAAAAGACTTTGTTAAAACTTGTAATTCCCTTATAAACATGAAGGATGAGGAAGAGAAGAGAAAAAGCAACTACTCTTCACTTTAAAATGGTAATATTGACAAACTCCTAGTATTCTTCATCTCTGAAATTCTGTGCTTTAATTAATGTCTCCATGAAAACAACCAACCTATGTGCTGAGCTGACACTTTTAATCAACAGTCTTAGGGTTCTGATGCCCACTGTGCAGATCTTATGTAGTTCTTTAATGCATTTCTTCAGATGAAAATACAGCTAATCACCCAATACTGTAAAATCAAAAGCCTCCTATCATTTCATGCCCATAATCAAACAGGCATTTCTTCTCTGACCTTGAGAGATACAGAGATGGGGAGAAAGGAAGCAAAATGCAAACCCACTCTGTGTACCTATAATAAAAGCTGGTAGCAGCTGCTGTTCAGTGCCTGACAAAGGAGCAGCCAAAGCCTGCATGCCCTGTAGCATCTCTGGAAGTGTATATGGGCTAAGGGGATTCTTTGCATCTCCTTGGACCTCAGTGGTGTGTTCTGGGCTGTAGGGCCTCTGTGTTTGTAGGGTTTAAATGCTTAGATCCACCTGAAGATGTAAGATAGAATTGCATCACTACAAAGTACTGCTCGGAGCAAGAGGAGATACAATATTATCCTGTGGCCTTTCCATGCTTGAAGTTTTGGTTTACACTCAAGCATGTTCATTTTTACTATAGTGTTGTCTTTATCTTTTGGATAGGTTGCTGGCTTGCTGCACTACAGCAATATATTTACTTTGAATATTTACTTTTTTCTCAGCCTTTGCTTCTTTTCTTTTGTCATTTTAATAGCTGCCATAATTTTACTCCAAATGTACCTCATGAGTTGTGTCTGTGTGTACATGTATTTGTCAATCACTCAAAAAGCCAAAGAAACCCTGCTGATTGTTGAACATATTAGACCTCTTTTGTCTTTCAGTTTGCCCCATTCAACTGTAACAATGCTCCTTACTAAGCATTTGTTAAGTTCTTAGCACAGAGGGATTGGAGACCTTAATTGTGTGATGTTCTTGTCCAAGGAAGAACAATTTAGCTAAGCAAGGATTTTTTTTTAATCACTGCTAACAGTAGGCGCATTAAACTCCTTAAAGTTGTTTTTCTTTATTGTATATAAAAAACTCCCCCACCTATTTTGTAGTCAAATTATGTGTTTGTTCTAGAACAGCAAGACATATTTTTATGCTTGGTTGTTTGCATACCCTTCAAATAGTATTGCTTGTATGCCTAATGCAAGTCTCCTCTGTGCTGGTACACAGTTAACTTATGTTTAATTTACAGTCTTAGTCAATTTAAAAATAGACAAAAAAATAAACAGCAGAAAACAACTCTGGACTGTCTCATTAAGCTGGTGAAAGATGAGATGAAAATTTTAGTCAGTGATCCTTTGCCAGAAAATCATGGAGATTCAAGCCCAGCCCCAGCAGAGTCTGGTTTCTTTTGGCTTTATCAGTCTCAGTTACTGTCTCTTCCAGCAGAAATCTGTTTGCTTAAGCTCCAGCACTGCCCTAAGTCCTCAGGAATAATTATACCAGAGTTGCATAAAATGTGGGGAGGCTAGAAGGAATCAGTTACATAAATATGGGTGTTTTCAGTGGGTTTTAACTATTTAACTAGTTATTTTCATAATTTAAAAAAATACAAAAATTTGTCTTTTCAAATTTTGTAGTGGAACTTAATGTTTTTGCATAGTTAAGGATATTGTAGAAAAAATTGCAGTGACATTACTAAGTACAGTGTGTTATTTTTTCCATTACTATGTGAATTTAAGTCCATTTACTTTCCTAATTGTATTTTGCAGTCTTCATTGATCTACTACAGCAATAAACCAAGTTAAATTATGTGGGCGAAAACCTTTTAATTAACTCTTTCTGAATAATTTCTAAACAGTAATTTTATGGTTTTTTTCCAATCTTTATCTTCTTTCGAAGGCTGTTCTACAGCATCCCTGAACCTTAGGACAAAATATATGAAAATTAAACAATTTGGTTTAAGTTATGATTCTTTTGAAAGCACTCAGCAATTGTGATTTCTCTGCTTTTAGAATTTAATTGAGGTTAAATTTGTTTCCTTCAGTATTAAACATTGAAACATATCTGTGATCTTTGGGTCTTGGTAGGTGTTAATATTTGTAAATCCGGGGTTATTAAATACACATAATAATTTATTTTGAGTTGAGAAAAGTAAATGAGACTTATTTCTTTATATAATGTTGGATTTCAATTAAAAAAACAAACAAACAAAAAACAAACAAACAACAACAAAAAAAAAAAAAAACCCAAAACCTCCAGAACTGTAAATGAGATATTTCTAAGAAACATTAGGGAAAATTGAGTTGTTTATAATCTTTTTTATGATCTGCTGGGAGAGGAATTCTTATTCCTCCTGACCTAGCATGATGTCATTGTCCTTGTTTTCAACTGACATTAAGGGAAGTTTGTCTGGTGTCTTCAAGAAGTTCTCACACTCACAGAAGGACACCATGTAAAAACAAAGTGCTACCTGGTTACATGACTTTTTATAAGCTTTATGTTTCTTCCAAGTTGAAGATGTTTATTTTGCAATTCACCCTTGGTGACAAATGTCTCTATATTCCCTTTCCTGAGCTCAGTCTGCCTGTTTTGGGAATGTAAACTGTGTTCTGCATGGCACTGGTCATTATTATGTGCATGTGCAATAACTGTGGCAAAATGATGAAGTTTAATTCATCAAAGTTTTGGTTCCGGGCTGAATTCTCAGCTGCCTTTTATTTAAAATGCTAGTTTGAAGAAGGCTATCTGACTTTGAGATAACAAAATATTTTGAAGTCTCCACTTGAGAAAGTACGTAAATACTACCTGAATTTTCAAATTAATTTAATTCTTCAGCTATTAGAGAATTTTCTTCTGCCAATCCAAAGAGAGGATAAGTACCAAAGGAAATAACAATGTGTGAATCAGTTAGCATGCATTTTCAATCTCCAGGATGAGATACACCTGCTGCCTGATATTCATGGGATCTTTCATTATGATCAGAGATTTGTTACAGAGTGCAGTCCTCAAATCCCATAACTTCTGGATAACAGTTTGTTCTATGTAATGTGGATTTATTTTTCATTTTTTTTAGACAAGACAAAAGCAAAAAGCTGTTGAGAGGTGGGAATTGCCCTATTTTCTCTCAGAGGAGAGAATACACTGTGTATGGTGGCTTTTAACCTGGTAAGCTTTTGACCTTTCTTATGATGTAAATTTTTACAATAAAGGATAATGATGATGCTATTGGAAACCCAAGTTGGATTTCATGGTATCAATTAAAATATCACAATTTCACAATATTTGTTTCTCCTGTGTGTGTCTGTCTCAAGTGTCTTGGAAATAGGTGAGAAAAAAACTTGGACTGAGACAAGCTAAAGAGTTGTGTGTTAGATATATTCAGGCTTCTGTGATCAAAGTGGTAAGAGATGGCCATAATGAGAAGTGAATGCATTGGAGTATCCAAGGTTTAAACTGGTAGTGTGGTTGTTGAATGGGCTGAAGAGGTTCTGTCACAGGAGAGCAGAGAGAAGAGTACCCCTGGGTGGTGAATACAGCTGATCTACAGAAGTGTTTTTTATCTTTAACCCAGTCTGTGCTCAGGGATGGAGCCAATCTTTACAGAGCAGTTATAATACTACTCTACAGACTTCTGTAGAAAATGAAGTCTCCAATATATTTACAAACTGGTGCTGATGGTTTCAATGTAGTAACTCTATCTCGGAGAATGTCTTTGAGTAGAATCACAGAGGTTGGTAAAAATAGAACTGCATAGCTTGTCATTCAAAGGCTAGAAAAAATTCCTGTTGGATTTTGTGGCAGAAAAAATAATGCTGAGTCAAACTGGGATTTGTGGTCTTGTGCAGTTAACCGCCAGATATTTTACTGTTAGCATTTGATGGTTTGAATCTTTTAAATTGGATTCACTTCAATAGTTTTCTCCAAGGCATTCCCTTGTTTCTGTCAAGACTTAGTTCTTTAAAAATATTAACAGCCCCTCCCAGTGGGAGTTCTTTAAAGTATAAAATGCCAAATTCTACTCTTTCTTCATATGGAAAGTTATTTTTAAACTGATAGGATGTTCCTGCCTGTTTCTTCATAAGTTTAATGCAGCTGTTACCATGCTGGAGCCACTGGTAATCTCTGCATTGCCATTGCTTTCTTTATAATTCTCTTCATTAGTTCTGATTATATTTTATATTTGCAAAAATATATTTGTAAACTACCTTATTTATTTGCCTGCAAAATTAGTTTGTTCTGCACTTAAGAAATAAATTGTGGCTACAATGAACAAATGTCACCTTGCAGTTTGACGTGCCTCTAACTTGGCTTTCAACGTCAAGTTGCCACATTTCCATGGTAAGATGGCTTTTTATGAAGCTTTGTACTAATTAAGCAAGTGAGATGTAACTTTTAAGAGTTTACTTAGGTAGGGAAGGGAGATGGTGGACCTTTGTGTCCATGGATACTCTCTTGTCCAGGGACTCTACTCAAGATAACACTAGAATTGAAAGTCAACACATCTCATCTGCACCATCATTACTGAAGTGTTTGCAAAGACATGATCACTGTTAATTTAGAAGATTTAATTTAAAATGGAGGAATTAAGGTTCAAAAGCCATATTTAGTGAATAAATTGGTTTAGAAGAGGTGAGCGTTCTCTAAATCTTGTCGAGGCAATTTCATCACAATTTAAAAAGAGGCCAGCTAAATTTCCATGTACGTTACAGGGAATGGACATTAGAGTATTTGGAAAAGATAAGTAAGTGCTAGAAATCTATTGGGAAGAGGACCATAAAACTGTCTGTAATTTGAGAGCCTAAATTTAGGGCACTCTAATTAAAGCTGACTTTGTATCCAAAAATAGCAATCGTATTACAAATCTCTTTCATTATATACTACAAGTATGCTGCTTCATTTCTGGTAGACCAGATTTTTTAAAACAAAATCAGCTAGTTTTGTTTGGTTGTTGGGAATTGAGGACAGAAACCTTTATCCCTTTCAAGCCTTCTCTTTGTGTGTAAAATCCCCTTTTTTGACAAAACATTGCATTTCTTATTATAAAATTCTGGGGATTGAAATAAGACTTATTGTATGAACTTAAAATTTCGGACCAGCTCAGACTGGGGGAATATATGAATGGAAGAAAATAGAAAGTAAGAGATTTTGTCAGTAATATAGTGTATATAGATTTGAAAATGAGATTTAGGTTCTGAAAGGATTTGAAAACTATCCCTGGGTTCTTCAAACATAAGCCTCCAATGCCACCATGTATACTGTTTCATATCGGGGCAAATTGATTTTTCCATAAAGTAGCTTGTTTTATTTGTCTGGAGACCACTTTTTACTTCTATAGTCTAACCTAGAAGAAAGAATCTATTTTCAGAGGTACCAGTAATAAAAGGTACTAGGAATGTAACTGGTTTGATAAAGCAACATGCAGTGAAATCAGTCTGTATCCAATCTGTCTCTGACACTTGTAAAAGGGTGGGAGTTACAGGATTAATGTTAATGAGTGGTTTTTATAGCACTGACTTAATGAACTGAGAGCTTTTCTTCTCTGGGTTTGTTCCTCACCGGCAATTTTGGGTGTCAGGGCATAGGGTTGTTCTGCTGACATGCTCTTCTGTCTTCATTAATTTAGATTGTTTTATGCCTTCTGTTTTTCATACTTGTTCCTGTAGTTCCTTATCTTTCCTGAAAAAAAAAAAAAAAAGAGCTTTTTTATTGTTTGGTTTGTGAGGTTAATTTCACTTTATTAAAATTCAAGTTATCTATTTAAAAAGTGAAATGAGAAGCATGAGATGAAACTGAGTAGCAAAAAACATTGTTTTAAAAGCTCTACAGCTGACTTACTACAATCTTTTAATGTGAATAGTGAAGCACCATCACTTGAGTAATGTTAAGATCATGAAAAAGACTGGGGAGTAGTCTTTTGATTAGTTTCCTTGACTGTGTCTAATAATATTGCCTGCTTTCTCAATCCATAATTGTCTTTTGAAATCATCACTCTTGAATTACTCCATTATAAAAAATAACCATACATGTGAAAACTTTGCAAAGCCTGAGGGAAGGTAGAGCCAAACAGAGGGAGATGGCTATACCTTCTGCCCCAGAAGTGGCCTTTGCCTGTGTGATGCAATATTTTGTTACCTAGAGTGCATTGGGATTGCTTCTGGAATATCTGAGCAATGAAGGGACTTTATTCCCATGACCCATGAACTCAAAATGTACACAGTCCTAGGGAGCAGGTCCTTACTCAGAGCAGCTGTGGTATTCTTTTATAAATACTTCTGTCTTTGCCTGTTGATTTATAATTTTATTTTATTTATCTTGCCTCCAACTCCAGATGAAACTTATTTCTCTTCTTTGAGGGTGTGATGGCTGCCACAGAGGGAGTGAGTGCCCACGATGACCTGAATGGAGGGAGACAGAGGCTGGAGTCCCTGTGGGAGGTGGGGAGCTGAGGTTCCCTAATGAAGGTGTTCTAACAGTATGAAGCATCCTTTTAAAAAGAAGGGAGCTGCAAGGCTTTCTGTGTGTGAATCCTAGTTTCCTCAGTATGTTAGGCATGCTCAGAGTCAATTAGGAGGCTGAGCCTGGAGAGCACCAGTGTGATGGTAAGAAGCACTTGTCTGGCCACTTCACCTTTAGTGAATGGAATCTGGATTTCTTCTGTGATACTCTTGGACCATGTTCTCTTTCTGAAGTCTTCTGGTGTATAGTGAATTTTACAGAAAATGTTTTAATTAACTTGAGTTCTTGGTAATGGACCTTACCCAGTGGTTTTCAAATGTGATGTGTAAAACTTGGAAACACTATATAACTTAGGCACTGCAGTACCTTATCCTCTTTTTGGTACTTTAATTATGCTTACTGTTGCACTAATGCAAGAAGGCATATAGAAGTATATGTAATTAGAAGTATTATGTAATTTCTGCAGTTGCATAAATGGACTCCTGATTCTTTCTTAACCTGTTTGCCCTTTAATTTCTGTCTGATAGCCTGGGGGAGCTTCCTCAGGTGTGGTTTTTTTTTGGTTTTTTTTTTTTTTTTCCAATTGAGGACACTACTTCAGATGTAATTGTCAGACACAGATTGCAAAACATTACTTAAATCATTCAATTTATTGCAAGCAATAGCATTGAGAAATCCAATGTTTAAATGAGTCAATAACTTGGATGGGAGTTCTTATAAAAAAGTTTCACATTTTTTTGTAAAAAACCCAGTAGTCTTGTACATGTAATATTTTGATTGCACATGATATACCTATAAAACCTGTACCTCTGAAAGGAACTGTTCAGTTTATCACTATGCTAAATATTATGATAATTAGAAAGAAAAAGAAAATGGCTTCTCTGGACATAAAGATAAAAAAAATTAGTAAAAAACCTGGTTACTGTTGTTTTTTAACTTGAAACTGGAATAATGTTGCTTTAGTTTCCTTTTAAGCACAAGTTAACATAATTGCTTGTTCCAGTGTGTTTTGAGTTGTATGTTTTGAAACATCCAAATAAAGTTCTGTAGGGACTGTGTACTTTTGTTACTCACCAATTACACTAGCATAGCAATTTTTTGTGTATTTGTGTAAATAAAATGGAATCTCCAGTACAAAAACCCTTCATTGGGGTATTTAGTACAAGGAACTAGAAAATGCTGTTCCACAATGGGATAAACCCAAGGGAAATCTCTTGAAGATAAATGATGGGATTTTTCTGGTGAGTAAATATATTCTGCACATAAAGGACAATGAAGACCATAATCCATTTTTGCTGGTTTTATTCAATTTGAGGCAGATCTTTAAGCAAAAACATCTAAATGCTGTTTCATTGGAAGCAAATGAAAGCTTAAAGTAACTGTAGATTTCTTTGCCCAAATTCTTCTGTGAGGTGAGACAATAATTTACTAAAGGATGACATCAAGTCTTTTTCTTCCTGTGGTATGTTTAGGGCTTAAGTTCCACATCTGAGAGCCATTTTCAATGTATTGTTAGCACAAGGCACTCTGCCTGAGTAAAAGTGAAGGAAAAAATTAAATTTGGATTTCAGATAAAGTGTTGGAACTTTATGGCAAAATCAGTAGTCAAACAAGAAATGAAATATCTTAAAAAAAAAAAAAGAAAAAACAAACTTAACTCTGGATTTCCCATAAACTAACATTTGTTTCTTTCTATTGAGCATGACATGGCAAATAAAGCAGCAGCTTTCAGAGCATTGCTTTTATGAAGCTCTAATGGTCTAATGAATAAGTAATATGCCATCTTGTAAAGCTACTGCCTGCTCATAATGCATCCATATTAT